GTTAGCTAATTGTTTGAGTAGACAGTGTATATTTCAATTCACTGAACAAAATCATTTTAGTGCAGGGAAGACATTGGCGTCATTGAGCGTTGTTATAATAAAATGGCCAGAGATAAAGATAAGATAAATTCTACGTTAAGGATAAGCTGCTAAATGACCACTTGTGTTGTAATAGTCAGTTGTTTCAATATATTTTTTCTTAAAGGAATATACAGTATTTTATAAGAATATCGAGCCTGAAACTTGCGATATTTTAAGAATACATACAATTACTTCAAGCCGTCCAAGTTAATAAAAGGGAAATACCATACGCTGTAGTCTAAGAATACTCACAAGAATATTTTCAGCCTAAACACGCCAGAAAAGTAAGCATAATCAGCCTGGACCGGAAAAGTAATATTCTTATACATAAAAAAAAAGAGTGCATGGCTTCTTTACGAGTTATTTATGAATATCGTCCCATGTAAGGACTTGTCGTTGTGTTTTCGAATCTATTTTAGCACTAATTGTAGATGATCCTCAAAATCTATTTATAAACGATATCAGACCTGAAATGCCTTAGGCCCAAGTGGCGACTCATTAGCATACACGCCAGCCTATCAATAACAAGGATATGAAAGATATGACGTAAAGACTAAGTACTCTGTACAGCAATGAAAACAGGAACATAAACTCAATTGGAAGCCAAACGCCTACGCCCTTTAACGTGCTAAGAAAAAAAAAAGGAAGAGAAGAAATGCTCCGGAAATCGTGTCGACAAAAGTTCAGCATATCTATTCTGAAATTTCTAATTAAAAAAAATCATGTAAAGAAAAACAGTGAAAACTAATATCATAGTTTCCCTTCTTTTGTGTTACGTTGTGCGTTGGCCGAGAAGGTGCCCTTAAACGATGATAAGATTGACGAAAAAGAAGCAAACAACGCCCTCTCGGCAATTTCCTCACCGCCCTCTTGTCCGTCTTCTCCGTCAAACTAATTATAGAGCAATGATGGCAAAACCTGCAGATGGTGTCAACGGGACTATCCCTTATGATAATCTCGTATTATAAATACAGGGCTACCTTCTGGTGAGGATAAAAGTTAAGGAACTTGCGCACAGCAATAGCTTACTGAACAATCGAAGACAAGAGAGATACTGGAACAGAAAGGTATGTTTGATCTCAATTTCGTTCAGGTTGCAAAATCAACTTCACAGCTATCTGTAAAGTTGCTTGATAAAACGTGCCAGACCGAGAAAGGGCTAGCCATTGAACGTGATTTTGCAGTTGAAGTCGTGCCGCGCAATCTTTCAGTACATGCCTGGGGGTTGACAAAATTGTACAAAAGGTGCTGACCTTTACATACTTTTTTTGTCAAAACTTGTTCGGCTTTATTCTGAACTTTATCATTGTTGATTGCAGCAGTACTTCATCTACTTGAAAATGAACACTAAAATACTGGTGAGTACATTGTTTGTTTGTGAGTATATTATACAGAATGCTAAATAAATGGAAAAATGGGAAATCTAGCTCCTAGACATTTCCCGAAACCAGAATGCTTCCAGAATTAGTGGAGTGAACAGGATCGATAAACTACTCGGAGTAGATGAGATAAGCCTCAAAATTGTTCTCAAGATTCTATTTTCAAGGAGAAAAGGAGAAATCCCTTCGTTCGCGGCATGAACAGTAAAATGCTTAACAAGTTAAAGTACAACAGTGGAGTGCGTCTTCATTACTTGTGGAGAGCCCTTCTGCTCGCGAAAGGAAACTATTACAGCTAAATACAACTTTGTCTTATTCGCGGAAGAAACGTTTTCTCATACCAGAAGACCGTACAGTCGTCCACAATTCGATTTAAAAGGTCGCCAAATTGTGTTAGTGATCTTGGAAAACTCATTTTACGAAACGCTGTAAATACACGCAGTGAAATTTTAATGCCTTTTTGGTTGCGGTTGCAGCTCGTTTTAACAGTCATGGCGATTATCAGCTGCCTGCAGTTTACTACAGTTAGCGGTGTTCCCACCTCCACAGAGGAACTTGGTTCTCTGGAAGTAGATGGCAACCAAACGGACTGGACGATTTCCCCGCTGAAATTTCTCCGCCAAAAACGCCACAGCATTGGATGCAAGTCTTACAGCCGAGCACAGTTGGTGAGAAAGCTAAACAGACTAGGCACTAGACAAGGGGCGAGCACGTATGGCGGATACAATCGACGATTCATGGCCATTACCTGGAGGGAGGCTCTGAAGTTCCCCAATCTTGTTACAACAGTGAGCGTGTCGCCAAAGAACGTCTCATCGATCCGTAACCTTCCCTTTAACCCTCCAACACAGAGGGGCACTCTAACGTCACGCGCAAACTGTCACACAACAGACAGTGGTTTAAAGCGCATGTGCAGTGCGTGTCCTGCAGTCACGTTCCTGGGTTACGACAGGATTCCGAAATACATCAACGAGGTTACGTGTGGACAAACCATGTGCTCACATGGAGTGCATGGCATGTGCAAGAATGCTCTCATGTATCAGAAGTTTTATTACAAGACTGGTAGATGTGATCCAAACACAGGGTACGAGGAGATAAAACCTTACACTCAGCCCATACGAGTATGCTGCGAATGTATGGTATTTTAAAATTACCTGTAGAAAAGAAAAAAAATTCCTGAGCAACAAGGCAAAATTAATAAATTGTATTATAATTTATTATTTATTTGTATGATTATTGACATAGGCGTTTATACTAATCGTTAAAGAAATCTAGAAGGCATTTAATGAAGTAAATATTTTATTTTGTTGTAATAACGAGTTGAATAATAAAACAGTCAACCGCAACTTGTTGAAAGAATGGAAATTGTTCAATACTATTTTTCTAGGCTGATAAGTTGCTATATTCTTATGACAGGCTTGCTTCATTTTGCATTAATATGTTAAGGAGAAGCTGGATGTGATCGCCGGTCAGTACTACCAGATGGTCTAAATATTATTTTTTCCTACAATGTTGCGTGCTTTATATAGAAAA